ATTCCTCTTGCTATTTTTTAGATTGTGGAGGAAGAAAGAAATAAGAGAGCTTTTGAGAGGATTGATGCCAATTTCGATAGAATTGGAGATGGATGGTTCCAAATCTTGAGTTCTTTGATCATGGATCATTCTTTGTATTCTATGGAGAGAATTTTGGGGATCTTATTGATATCTTACTTGAATTGTAAGTAATTTTGTACATGAGTTGACACCTTTTTGGTGCTTGTAACTAATGATACAGACTATATTTTTTATTTCATAAAAAAAATGTTGCCATGGATTTGGTAAAAAAATGTATTGCTTGTGAATTCTCCTTTATCCTTTGCATTCTGTTTTGGCCCCCTATTTTTGTTAACCTTTGTTCTAAACTGAATTTCCTTGTACCATCTACCACAGATGCACATTCACTGATCACATTGGAGTTCCAAATAAGGATGGTGTTGATGAATTGTTAAACAAAGACAAATTTCTTGTTATTTGTGAGTGCATAGCATTAAAAATGCTGAGTAATGCACATCTCTTTCTTGTATCTGTGGATATGCCTGTTGCTGCAAACCTTGATGATGCATCTGGCTTGCGCTTGCGATTCAGCAGTGAGATCTTGAGCAACTCGCTTACTTGTTTAATTACCATTATGATTGAAGGTAAATGTTCTGAACCGTTGAATGTGTGTGTAAAAGTAAATTGTGAAGAAACTGTTTTTGGCTTAAATTTGTTGAATAGAATTGTGAACTTCCTGGCAGAGCCATCGTTAAGCGATGTGTGATTGTTAAGAGTGGTAAAAATTCATTGCCTTGGAAGAAATTGATGGAAATCTGAAGAATGTAAAGTTGACATCATTATTCAACATGTGTTGATGCATTGTTTAGCTTAATCTATTCCTTTGTCTAAACATTCCAGAGGATTGTATAAATGTTCCAGATGTCCCTTTATGCTTTCAGTGTAGTAAAGTTGTCAATGGAAGTTTCTAAAGCATATACATGTTATTGGAAGATGACCTTTTATGTGTTTTCTGTATGCAACTTTTTCTTATAGAACGCTATGCAATTTCTCTGTTAGCTTATAGAAGATGGATGCTTATATGTTGCATTTGCTAGGCAATGTCGCATCTCTCTTTGATGGATTTATCAGAATTTAATTTTGAGCTGCTTAGATTGCAGGATGCTTAATAATGGAAATGAACTGTTTTCCTGTATATGCATAGACAATGTCCATATATGAGTCTTATATTACTGAGTTGTAATTTCTAAACCGCATCAAGTACTTTACCCTGTTATCTTGAGGCTGAGTTCTTATATCCTTCAGTTAATGATGTCCTGTTTCTTTTATCGAAATGGAACATAAAAATTATGCAATTCAGATATTTATAGCATGTTGACTAAAACATTCAATAGACCTTGTAGTCTTTATTTTTTGGAAGAAAAAGAAAAGAAGGCCTTGGCACCTTGGTAAAGAAGCATTTAACAATCAGGACGTGAGATAGCTTCTTGCAATAGTTCTGTGTTATTTCACTGCTGTTCAGGAAGATGTTTTGCCTATTTATTAGTTCTGGTGTCTAGTATCATCAGTTATTCTGTGTGATTTTACCTTGTATTTATATGTATCAGTACAAATATATTTCGCACTGCTGGGGGCAGGGTGGTGGGGGAAGGGGGATACGGTTGGAGGTGGGTCCATTTTTCACTTACAAAAGGCAGTAGGTAACGGAACTCAGATTCATATGGTTGAATTTCTACCAATTTTCTTATAGGAGATCTCGTTTCCCCATTTAGGCACTCCATTATCATTCTTCTCAGCAATCTAGATTGTGGCAATTGGCTATAAATCCATTCCACTAGTGATTCCATATCATCTGCAAAATCGTGCAGGTGCCATTGCAGGAGCTTGGGTACTACAATCTTTCTCTTGCTTGTAACTCCTATTGAAGCTTCCAGATATTCTACTCTTGCTCTCCCCAATTCATTGACTACATTCTCTGGAGTATAAACTCTTAACTGCAGTCCAGTTCATCTTTAATCAATGTGCAGCTGAAGTCAAAAGGGTGAATTACAAAATTACCTGAATATCTCAATTTATAAAATATACTTAAAATTGCAATTCTGTTAGAACTTTCAGGTTTTCTTTGGAAACCTGAAAGTGAAGTCCTAATATAAGATCTTTAAGGTTTTAAATGTCTTATATTAGGACTTGCTCGTCACTTTTATGGTAGAACATACCAAAATTGACTTTTACACACTTCAAACATCTAATTAAGTGGTTTAAAGATCTCATTAATTGTGATAGTCAATATCTAACTTGCTTTATCAGAAAGAAAATGATTGGCATGTTCTAATCTGGGACATCTAAAAAATCATAGGTTTCAAAATGATGCAATTGAAAGTGTAGGTCATAGTTTAAGATATTTATAAAAGTAGATAGAACTTTTAAGTAACCTATCCAAGTAGGTGAGTGACAGGGTACATATAAAAGAATATATACTTACTGCAGGTGAGGACCACGTTCCTCGGCAAAGGGCAAACGTTATATTGGGTTCTGGAAAACCCAAACCATAGGCATGCCTTAGTAGCGTTTCCTTCTCTTCCATTGGGCCCTTTTCAGTGAGTCAGAAAATTGAGAAGACATGTTATTACATGGTATTAAATTTGATCATAATATTTGTTTTTGTCCTGGTTGAGATGGAATTTTAAAACTTTATAAAATAACCTTGGTGATGAGAAATTGTAAAATTCCTGCAACAAACAGTTTGAACTGTGTATGCTAATTGGTTGTTTAGAATCTGTTTAGAACTTTAGATGGCCGGCAGCCACAAGATCTTGAAAATATTCAAGGCCAAGTTATTAGTAGGTTAGATTCACTCACATATTCTGATTCACATGGATGCCGTAGGATAAAATGTTCAATGGCCAGAGCATTTAGCACTATACCGCCTACATTCATTGCAGCCTGGAAGGCAAAATAGTCATGTAATGTCAGAAGTTGAAATAGTTTATTCATTGTTGTGTTGCATTATTATGCTAAAATCAGTTGTGTTTCTAAACGGTAATTGGCCTGTCGATAAGTTGTGATTATCCTGAAAGCAGACAACATAATTTCAGACTTGGTAAGATCTAGAACCATTGTAAATATAGATGAGTGAGTTTTGGGCTGCTTATGATTTCTTTAGTATGGATGGCAACAACATACCTTGTTCATCAAGTCCAGCAGTTTATCCTGTGTTGAAGGTAGTCCATGCTCAAGAAATGCCTGAAATTTGATAGAAATGGGCTAAGTTTTATATTTTGCTACATTTGATGCTCATCTTGTTTTCCTTGATAGCTTGATATGTCTTACAGTACATGCATTATGCAGGCATTGTAGATATTGATCCAAAATGCTAGCTTCTGCTTGTAGGGTAGGAAACTTAAGTCAACGCTACATAATTTCTCCATCAAAACCCTGAAATTTTATGGTAAGCACATGATCGTGTAAGATGGCTCTGTTGTTAGTAGCATTGTGAATAATCATTTGTATGATGAGGAACTTGAGAGGAAACCTCAGCTTATCAATGGATGATGAACACTCTGTAAAACGATTGACATCTAATGAACATCGTGTGATGTGGATGAAGTTCTTGTACGGGCCAATGTCCCTGATCGTGCCATGTATATCTGGCAAGACGCCATAAGGATCAAAATTTGATGCATTGTAGTAGAAAGAAAACTGGGTTGCTTTACAGTTCAATGAGGTCTTGGCTATTAAGCCTTTAGAATTTGCGGATGGAAGACCAAGCTTTGGCACAACTGTTGATCTTTCTCTTTCCGGTAATGCTCCATTTAATTCCAAAAATATGCTTATCAGGCATTTAATCAGTTCTTCAGAGATCAAATTAGGGTTCTCCATGCCAGTTCCATTGATGATTTGGAAGTGGTTTTGGATTCTGGTGGCATGCCTCCTTGACCTTTCTTGCATTTCTTCGGTTCAGCACCCACAGAAACACACAGAAAATTACACTCATGCATGTTTATTTAGCTTGAAATTCTTCAGAACTGGTGTGTTCATAGTTCATACTCATAGTTACTGTTTAGTCAGAGCTTAGCTTACCAGTTGATTCTCTGGAAAACATCTTTAAGAAATCTGCCGCAGAGCCTAAAGAGGCTCTTCTGTTACTTCTCAGTTTCTGTTTTCTAAATTCATCATAGTTTTGTGACCGTGATGGTGGTTGAATATCATCACTAAGCAATGATCGACTGCTGGTTATAGGCGGTGAGGTCTTCCTCTGTTGTATTTGCCAATTGTCATTTTGTTTCCTCTCATGGTATAGTTTTAATTTTAGCCCGTCAACTTTTCTCTCTAGCAGAAGTATCTCTTCCTCCACGGTCGCCAGCTCCATAAATAGCATTCGCACCTGTATTTAGGATATCACGTGAGGTGGATGCAGATTAACTATTTGTAGCTACTATACAAGTTGTTTTGTACTGTTTATTGCCTGTGGTGGAAGCAATGAGAGAAGGCAAGGGTGAGATGACACAGGCCCCTGCAGTGCGCACTGCAAGACCCTGTTTACTTCTTGTGCGCGATCTAGTTCTGCTTGCAGTTTCACAACCTGTACCTTATAGTGACAAGGTTATTAAATTGCTCATGGTGCCACTACTAAGACGGATTTTCATGCTCTAAATAGTAGTGTTTGAGAGTATGGTTATGAAGCTTGATGTTTTTAATTTTTCGTTTTGAGGTTCAAGTTCTCAATTAATACAAAGGACATTAAGATTAAATTTTCTTTAACCTATCGGTAAGAAGGTAAGTTTTGATAAAGGTTAAATTTGAGCACGTATTGGAATTAAAAAAATGAATTTTTTATTTGTATTTTTAATATTATATCATGAGATATATATTAAGACAAAATAGTTATTCACATATTTATAAATTTAAAAGTAATGTTGAAATATATTGGTTTAGCTATGTTACAATTGAATAAAAATGTAAATAAATATATCAAAAACCCAGATGAAAGTAAGGGTATAATATTTTTCCAAACCTCCTCGTCAAGATCACCATCATGAGTGGTGTGTTGTTGCTGATCCTCGCTTCCTTCCATGAGGTAATCTTCAAATTTCATATTCTCTGGATTAAGGCAGGAGCAACCGACACATAAATGTGAGAGCTACTCCGGTTCCAATTCCAGTTCCAGTTCCAGTTCCAGTTCCAACGGAAGAATTTATATCATACAAAGCACAAATAACAGAATTTGAGATAAAGATATAAGCAACATATATACATGGAGAGAGAGAGAGACAGAGTACGTGGGTGCCACTAAAGGAAAGGTAGTAAACAGAAGAAAATGGAAGGGTTGAATCAGCATGATATTCAAGAGAGAAACCGATGAAAAGTGAAAAAGTGGTATAGAGAGAGAGAGAGAGAGAGAGAGAGAGAGAGAGAGTGTGGAGAACGGTGAGCGGTTAGTGAGATATTAGGGTTAATGGCTTGCATGGCAATCACATGAAGTTGATAGAAAAGCAAGGTCACATTTAATATTTTAATTGGAACCGTGGGCGACTGGGCGGTGGTGGAGATGACGTGACTTCCATGAACAGTTTACTTCTATATCATTCCTCATTTTCTTTTTTTCACATCTGATGAAATGGGGGGGGACTAAAATGTGGAAGCTGTTGCTGCCTACTCCTTCTAACAGCTTCCTTTTCCCCTTTGTTTTCAGAACAACAATTTGCTGTGCTAAATAATTAATAAAAAGTAAGTCGCCGTCTGTGGGAATCGAACCCACGACCACATGGTTAAAAGCCATGCGCTCTACCAGCTGAGCTAAGACGGCGATGATAACAGGGTAATAAATTATTTCTTTGATGGTTCCAAATGAGAATAAACAATTCGCCATCTGTGGGACAGAAGTCCAAAAGTGGGAGAATAAATACGCCGTCTGTGGGAATCGAACCCACGACCACATGGTTAAAAGCCATGCGCTCTACCGGCTGAGCTAAGACGGCTTTGCTGTTGTAGGTTCCAAGAAAAAATACTCTTCCTGAACAACAATGTTAAGTTGAAGCAGAAAAGTGTTTTGCAGCAAGAGAAATAGTTTTGAACTCTGTAAATTATCTCAATGGAGGTAGTGACGGAAGGACTCCAATTGGTAGAAAAAAAACTTATAACTTCTTAGATTTATCCTGCACTTGGAAGAAGAAGTAAAAAATGTAATAAATATAATGATAATTTAATTCTTCATTGCCATAATAAATAATTTATTGAGAAAAATAGATAAATTTAATACAAAGGTGTTAAAAGAAATAATAATAACTTGATCTTAGGCATAGACCATTATACCCACAATGATCGGACATACTATTGCTATTCATAACAGAGTCGGAGACTTGCATGTTTATATAACAAATTGTATAGAAGGACATAAATTGAGAGAATTTGTATTTACTATAAATTTCCGTAGACATGTAAAAAATAATAATAAATATCGTTATTAATAAAATAAATATAGATTTATTAGTAAGAGATAAACTTTATGATAAGTAAAAAAAAAATAAATCAAATATAAAAATATACGCTTTAGGTCAACATATACGCATATCTGTCCATAAAGTATGAAGAATAATTGATTAGATTCGTGGATGTTTTTATGAAGAAACACTTATGATATAAGAACTCATGTCTTATCTAGTATGTTGTCCCATGTTTAAATTACTTTATTCGACAACAATAAACATTAGTCATAATATGAGTTTCAATGAAACGAATTTAGTTATTAGTAAAGTCGAAGTAAACGAGAGTATTCCTCCTGAAATAAAAAGATCAAAACTTTCTATATTCCATAATAGATTTACGAATTATGTCTTTTTGGTTAGTCCATAAAGGTCAGACACCCATATTTTAAGACTATATAATCCTGTTATATAAAATATGTTAAACTCAACACAAGTCACTCAATGAAAGAAATTAATGAATTCCAAAGATCTTGGATCAAACTCAAAAAAAAAATTTATATACGTTCATCACAAAATATTTTTAAATCCCAATACCATATAGCTTCTAAGATGAAGCACATAACACACAATCTTCTTTTTTTTAGAAAAAAAAAAAAAATCACAAGCATTTGAGTAGTTGACCTAATAAGTAGTTTTGAAGAATTAATTGGGAAAGAAAAAAATGTTTGTTTGCCCAGTTTTATCTTTATTTTTAAACCTTTTTAAAGACTCATCTTTTTAAGGGGCAAATTTCTTTTAATTTTCCGTTTAATAATCATTATTTTGAAATTAAATAATCTCAAGCACTTAATTTACTAATTATTTTATGCAGGGAATAATTGAAGATGCCGCCTAATCTCAACAAATCTCAAAGCATATAATATTCATATAATAATCCATAAATGAAATTAAAATTTACTGTACCATACTATTAGTTTTTCTTCACCAAACTTATATAATACTTTAGACTTCGATTATATTTTAGCCTCATCATTAATTCTATAAATGATATATGTTATATTTTATATATATATACATCACTACGAATTTGATCATATATTATGGGTGATAATATAATGAGGTCGTCATGTTATATAAAGCTAGTAAAGTTAATCTTATTTTCCTTTTTCCTCTTAACAATTATTCTTATTCAACTATTTTAGTCAACCACCAAATATTTTCGACTTTATTGGAAATGGTGGTGACTGATGAAAAAGTATACACACACACACATATATATATATATATGGAAGAAAATAATATTAATACGCAGAACCTATGGTAGATAAGAAGAGGAATTCCAAAATAAAGGGGAATATCAGAATTATTTTCGAGATAATTTGTCCAATTGCTTAAGTTCTTTATGTATATATATATATATATATATATATATACAAACACATGTATCTTACTACATGTTGACATAGTTAGTTTAAGGATAAGTGTCCTTGAATTTTAGGTTTATTAATTTAGAAAATTATATTTATGTTTTGATCAACGAATTACTAAAATCAACATTAACATACAATTATTCTTTTTCTTTTTCTTTTTCTCTCTCCCATAGGAAGACGTACGAAAAATTTATTTAAAAAAATACATAAAATGTTGGAAAAAAATTTGAAGAATCGTCACCAAAATTCGAGAAATAATTTTTTTTTCTTTAATTTTTATCGAGATTTTTCATTTTATATAAAATTTATGTATTTTATTTTGTAAAAAAATTATTATGTATTCTTAAAAAAAAAAAAAAGAAACAATTCGTATTGACAATAATTTTAATATCTACAATACTTTATTAGGTTGAGATTTGAGATATAATGTTTGTTTTTTAAAAAATATTTTAAAAAACTTACATAAAAAGAGAAAGAATCAAACAAGTGAAAATTGCACACCATCAATTGGATTGAACATGAAGAAGAATCACATGTACATAATTCTTTTGAGGGAAACGCATCCAACTCAATTTGAAGCTCCCTTCAGCATTTAATTTTTCACACAACTTAAAAATATATTATATAATGTTTATAAATATATAAATAGATGCATAGATACACACACCCACATACAGAGAGTTGAAAATTTGAGAATGTGATAGTAATGAGATAAATTACTCTTGGCTCTCCTTCCAGCCTCCCAAGTCTTCTTCATTAATATCACCTTCCACCTATAAAATTTAGTACATAATGAAATTGTTCATCAACATTAATAAACACAACTAGTGTTTTACAAACAAGATTTTAATTTTGATTTTGGCATCTATATGCAATTAATTAGAAATTACAAACATAGATATATATATATATATATATATATGTACACACAAAATAAGTAAATTGGTCCAAAGTTATAACTCTGATATATATTTTTTTAGAAAACATGTACTTACATGGTCTTTGTTTTAAGAGATTTATTTGTCAATTAAATCAAATTCCTCGATAGATGTTAAATAGTGATTCAATATGTGTTACGTGATAATTAAATGATCAAAAACTAATAATATAATAAAATAATTTTATTTAAAGATACAAAAAGAGTTGTAATTTCAACTAGTACAATAAAGAAAAAATAGTAATAAAAGTATATTAAAAAAATACAAAATGTGTATATGAACTATTTTTTTTTTCCAAAGTTTTTGTAATGATAAAGTGATGAAAATATTATAATTAATTTTCTTTGTACATATATATATATATATATAAGAAGCTAGTTATAATTTTATCCAAACTTTAAAGAATTCGACATAAATATATTTATATAACTAAAATAAAAAGAAAGAAAAGAATAAAATTAGGAGAAAAATACCTTTGTAAATTTTAAACCAACTTGAAGCTCACCACAGTAAGTTCCATCTTCAAGAACTACTCTGTATATGGCACGGTGCAATTCATAACTTCCTTTCTCCACTCCCAAGGCCAATAGATCCTCCACATATATCCTATTTTTTCTAACATTAATGAGATCACTTCTTTCTTTCTTACTTATCAAAATGTATGATATTGTATGTACATATATTTATATCCTTGTAGAAAAAGAACTAAGAAATTAAATAACATGTTATAATTTTCATTATATAAGATTTAAAGCATAAATAAGGTGGTGATTAATTATATGGTTTCTATGTAATAATATAGTCTAAGCAATGAAGCAATTAAAAGAAAGATCTTACGAAGTCGTTCCTATAAAATCATCTTCAGTTAAACGGTCTTCGTCGTAAACTTTTAAAACAATTTTGTAGTCATCGTTTTCACTTGGAAATTCTGCCTTGAGTTTGAATTTCTCATTCCATACTGGATACGTACCCTTACCTGCAATTATTATAAATTCATACAATATATATATATATATATATAGTTCAATAATTAGCGTTAACATATATATATATATACATACCTCTAAGCACAGTGCTTTTTCTCATTTGGCCTTTGTAGTGAATCGTAACATAAGGATCTATACGATTAATACAATCAAAACCAAGACATCCTTAAAAAAAAAAAAAGAGAAAAAAAAGTTTATTAGCACAAATAAAAAGAATGTTAGATAAAATAATGATTTTAAGTAAATATTATTATAAATTTAATAACTAAAATAATAAACGAGCACAACTAGAGTTATTACTCTAGTGCTTTGGCTAAGTTTGCAAATTCTATATGTAATTTTGAGGATCTATGACATATTTTGAGTTAAGTATATGAAAAGTATTTGGAGTTCTATCAAAGAATTTGACATGTGGAGCATAGGAAACAAGATGATTAGAGATGCATGAGCGTGTAGTTATGCGTGTGTAAAAATATATATGGCATGTGTATATATATATATATATATATATTAATGCAAATAATGTCAGTTTGCTTTTATATTTAATATAAAGATTTGATTTGGCGCGGGTGAAGAGTATGTGCACATCTTTTATCTTTATACAAATATTCATTTTCTGAAATAAGAAGAGAGAAAAATAAATTTCGAGGCGGCCGATTTAAGGTTTTGTTCTCTTAAAGCCCTCGTCTTCTTCCTTGTCTGTTGATTATTTTCGGTTATATATGTTTATAATTTGTATAGTTTCTTGTCAAGATGTGATGCATGAGATCTTTTATGATATTAGAGTCTATATGAAGAATAAAAACTCTAACACACGTACAATTGAAAATTTATTTTTATCAACCTGAGTAGTCCATAATTCTTCACGTCCAAGTAATCCATATTATATCAAAGCTAACCAAAACTTTGGAGCGCTGCTTGTCACGTAGTTTTTAAACTTTAATAACTACCATATTTGTGAACAAACAGTGTCAGTGAGTAAACATTCATGGCCAGGCAAGAAAATACTAAAAAAAAAAAAAAACTAATCCCTATATCTTTTTATGTTAGTTATGACAAACTTAATTGTTGATACCAAAATTTTGTGTTTATTGTTAGTTCTCAAAAAGACCCAATTCTTATAAGGAATTCTATAGAGATATAAAATGGGTCAATGTTATGAAGAATGAGATTGATACTTTGAAAAAGAGTAAAACTTGGATAGTCATAAATCTACCACCCTAACAAGAAGGCAATATGATATAAGGTTGGTGTATAAAATCAAATTCAATAATAGATGATAGTGAGAGAGAATTTTAAAGCCAGACTGATAGTTAAAGAATT